TTGCCAGCGGTTAAGCTTTAGGGAAATAACTCGGGCCTGCTACTAGCAATCATCTAATTAGATCTGCAAACCTATACATTTCGTTACATTACACATAAATACCTAACAAATATGAATATCAACTGCAGAAACAGAATTGTTGTGTGAGAGTATTTTAATTATGCACGAGTATCAATTAACATAAATTAATCACTACGGTGTTCTTATAAAAACGTATTTTTGTGAGAAACAATAAAATATTAAATACCGTTTTAAATCCCTCAAGATAACACAATATAACATGTTTGTTGTTATTTTTATATTGGTATATACAGTTAAAGCTTCACTAATCACAATTAACCAAGCTGAAACTGTATAAACACAAGACTAAAATAAATGTAAACAAATAAACAAGACTAAAATAGATGTAAACAAACACAAGCTAGAGGGCAACTACATAAAAACACCTACCCCAGAATGTGCAGCAATAAAACTTAGTGTAAGAGAAACAAAAGAAGATCAAGCTAGCAATAATAATGAACATACATTAAATAGACAAAAAACTAGCATATGTATACCAGATTCAAGGATACATTTGTGTTTTGCTCAACATAACTCAGCTCCCAACTATAAACCAAATTCATTTGTTATGGTTTTCTCAAATACATACGTTACTCATTACATATTTTTGCTTTCCAAACAGATTAAGACAGACGAAATATTGTATTTTTTCAGTCAACAAATTCAGGTAGTATTTGAGCCTGCACATCCAACACTACCCCTAGAGTCTGTCAGTAAATTACCCCTTACAATATCCAGTTAGTAATGAAGAAAAGAAGAAAAAACCCATTACACAGAGGAGTCTAAAGGCTTTCACTTGACAATGGCATGAAAACTGCATGCAAACAATGATCCAGCAAAATGATTAATAGAGATTAAAGCTATTAAAAAAGTTTTAGCTTGTAGTTTCAGTAAAAAAAAAATGCACTGCATATGATTTCTTGCAACGTTAGTAGGCTACTTGATTAATTATCACATGGAATTAAATGCATGCCTGGAAATACAAAATCAACACTAATTGAAATATATCAATAAGATGAATTTTTCTTTTATCTGGCATAAACAATGGCAATATATATAGGTGAATCAAGCTCACGACACCAATATGCTATTACATCATTTACCTGTTGTTCAAACAGCTTCTACGCATTTAATTATAAAGTACGAAGAACACTTTAGTGAATCATTCATTGAAAAAAAAATTCTAAAAAATTGTTCAACCCTGAGAAAATATTGCATTCTATGCATACATTTTTATAAACAATTATTATATGAAATTGCATGGCAGGGCAGTAGAGTGCATGTTTCCCAAAGTAAAGGCGGCTGGCCATAGTATTCCTCACGATATTCCATGGCCTGAAACAGATCAATTCTACTAAACTTGCCCCACTGATAGTCTAGTATAAAAGGGTAATTTAACTATATGTATCCTACTGGTGTAATTAACTTTATATAGCATACTGAACAGTAAACAAATTAATCACATTTTGTCTATTAATTGATTTGTATGGTAAACCTTACATCCTCTTAAACTGATGCATCAATTTTAGTTTTTTGCAGTTTGGGTGTGGTATTTTTAGTTTTTTCCAGACAATGAATTCAGATTTTTCCCATAATTGTTTTTTCTGCAAAATGCTTTTTTCTGGTAACACTAAGTATAATTATACAGCAGTACCAAATAGTAAATATACTAATATAAAATTTTTTAAAATAACATACTACATAGCAGTCCATTATCCTTTAAAAAGATAATAAAATTAGCCCATTAAAACATTAAAATTCACTTTTGAACCTGACAGTCTATGGGGCAAGTGGCAACTGTTTCTGTGACATTAACTTATGAAGGGATAGCGTGGTCAGCACTATGCCGAGCCACCTTTACTTTCCCTAATGAATTAGGTACCCATCAGAGCTGGGCGGACTCAAGGACATTCTGCGTAACTAAATGCAAGACTTTCGGGTTAGCAGTCGTATGCTCTATCATTTGACTACTCAGTCCCTCTTAAAAAAAACAAGTGCTTCATGTCGAAAACAAAAAAAATCATACATTATGAATAAAGTGCAGTTATTGTTGCACAGCTAAATAACTAATTATTCAATGTGTATATTTTAACAAGTAACTGCTAAACAGCTAAATAACTAATACAGCGATAAATATAATATAATCTATACTTAATAACAGATTTTTTTTCTTAAACATGGCTAAATAACAAATTAAATTGCAGCAAATAGTAGAAATATTATAAAGCAATACATTTATTTAGTAGCTTTAAATAAAATGTTTTATTTATTATAAGATTATAATAATTTTAACCATACTGCTACAATGGAGGAGCAAGCAACTCGAAAAGTAAAAAAATCAAGTGTGACCTATTAAACTACAGGATGCAGAGGGTGGTCAGTTGTGTGAACAATCTTAAGTTCAGAGCTGGACATTAGTCCGCCCAACTCCCTATGGGTACCCAGCTCTCATTTTGGAAAGTAAGTGCAGCTAGCCATAGTGCTGACCACACTAGCCCTTCAAGGACTATCTGGTCTGAATGGGGAGCGTTACTTTGTTTATTTGTATCAATTTAACCTCTCCTCGTAAAATGAAATTATATGAAAGTTAACATTAACTAAAACGATGGATTTTGCTTATAGAAATGTGGGATATTTATTTTTATACACTTAGGTAAGTAAACTTTTGAAATTTAAGTCAATAAAATGTATTAAATTTTATACGCTTAGCTTAAGTTTACCTACCACCTCAACTACAGACAGAAGACAGATTTTCACCCCTTTAAATCAAGTCGCTGTGGATATCTAAAAATTATTCCTATGTAATAACTTAAACTTAAATAATGAAACCCCTAAAGCTTGAAAAAAAAAAAAGCATTCCTCCTGTCTTGATAAGTTGTTACAGTCTACTATATAATGCATTGAAAATTACTTAAAGGTTAGAACAATCATAAATGTGAGTATACAAATATACCATAACCCCAAGTCCAGAATACGGCTAATGTTACTCTGGAATTATAAAACAATATGCAATAATTAACTCTTTCTTAATTTCTCAGTTAAATCATAAATGTACCCATTTTTATTATCAAACTGTGAATGCATTTCAGAAATTTTTTAGAAGCCAATACATTTTTAAAAAGCATCTTTACTATTTTCAGCTGTTACGTTTTTATGCCAAAATGTTTTGTTCTAGGATCAGAGCCTGAAAGATCAATAGTAAAGTCAGTAGCAGTACACAATGCTGCAAATTATTTTATATACTATTTTATCTATGAAATCATCTTCTTCTTTCTTCTTCTTCGTTCTTAATTATTAGTGTTGAAGGGGATCGAGATTTATCTGCCCCACTGTGTTTGAACTCGAGACTTCGTTCGAATTTATCAACCATGAGCTTTTTGCCGACTCGACCACGCCTTCAACACAATTAAGCGTTACGTGTCAACTGGTTATGCGCCATTGAGGCCATTGACTCCGATTTCAGCCTGCTTTTCTTTTTTTGGATTTGCTTCCATAGCCTTTGTCCAACCAAGAACAAACTACAAGGCAGCAGTTGTTTAATTTTGGAGTTGTCTCTCCTAGAAGAGTGGCTGTCCCCAGCTAACGAGCCTCATCTGCCCGAGGGTTCGAACTCGAGACTTTTCGGTTTAGCAGCCATGAGCTTTACCGACTCGACCACGCCGACCCCTGAAATCATCTGACTCGTTGCAAAAAGGCCAATAATTACCCATGATAGAAAACTTATCAAAAAAATAATTTAGATAGTAGACATTTATTTATCTTGTCTGACAAGAAACCCAGGATTCCATGTTAATTCTTGAAAGATATATTATATAATATAAATAAATATTATATTAGAAGTTACATCATAGAAAATTAAATCTAACAAGATAAACTCTGTGTTTTATAAAATCCATTAAATTGTCAAGAAAACTGTTATAATAATGAACATATACTACCAAAAGCCTTTTTTTTTAAATTTATAATAATGGCAGTAGGCCTATGCCTAAACAATTATAGAAAAGAAATTCCTATTTACATTAGCTCAATAAGCTACAAGACTATTTATTCAATATTATTAGTTAAACTTACATAAATAATGTTATTGCACTGATTTTTTTTTTTCAGTTATTTGTTTCTTAATAGTAATATAAGTGTGCGTGTATGTTCACAAAGAGTAAGACTATAATAATAATGTAGATGTAACAGGCCTAAGCCTAACACTGAAGTAACAACAGGCCTACTTACTACTATAACAGTAGTTTATGGGCAATGTATTATAACAGTATTGTAATATTGTTGTAAGTAAAAAAGCAAAAGGCTGTGGATCTATGTAATTATTAGCCTAATATAAATTATAATTAGGCTTAATAGGGCCTAGGCTAAGGCCTAGGCCTTTGCCTTAATTAATATTAATTGTTATAAGTGATCAGTATAATTAATGTCAACTCCATGTCTTTCTTGAAGGCTTACAATCAAGCTAGATCTATAGCGTTTTCTAAATCTATCTTGAATCTAGAAATAGAAATCTAGAATTTAGCAACCGCAAAACATTCAGCTAAAAAATCTATTCAAATTCTTCCCAAGCGTTCAGTCGACTCAGTCGTGCATCCCTGCTACGGACAAAATTCAAAGACAGCATTAATAAAAACTCTCTGTCGGCATCTTCGGCTGCTAGTCTAAGGGGCTGAATAATGAATAGCAAACGAATACAATAGAATGGACATGCTTACAATTTCCCGGAAACTACTCCCTAGCCAAGGTACCCGAATCAGTCAACCGTACTAAAGAAAACAAACAGTAAATAAAACCGAGTTATCACTGGGGGAAAGCTTGACCGATAGAAGAAGATACGCCATGCTTTCGGAGTAATGTGCTTATATCAAGCCATTTACAACAAATATTACTGTAAAGCACATAACAACAAGCATTTACACGAACAGAACTGATTAATGACTTACCATATTAGACACCACCATCCGAGTAAGGTTTCTGCTCTTTTCACTGATCCTCAACACAGGTAATCGCCATCTTGAATAGTATACTGCGCAACATAATCTGCGCATTGATTTTGACGTCACAGGTCTTGCCCCGACTGACCTCTTATAAGGTCAATAAACTCAGTTTTTCTCGCAATTTGTCTTTCTTTGCATTATTAATTTTTTAATTAGATTTTATATTCAATCAAAGTTAATTGCATCCAAATCCTCAAGACGAGTTACCAATTTTCCACTATGTAAATTTTACTGCGTTATTAAAAAATTTAAAGTAAACTGGTCTGCAATAAAGGAGTAACAAAATCTGTTAGCTAAAACGATAACGGTGATACATTTAGCCAAGTATTATTGCGTTTAAATTAATATAACAATGTAGAAAAATATGTTATCAAACAATCTATATTATTTTTATAATTCGGCTCTATATTAAAGTTTTAAAAATAAATTTGGAACAGTAGAATCACTATTATGGCGCAATTGTAGAGGGAAGGGGGGGTGAAAAATTGATATTTATTTTTTTATTCCAATTGATGTACTTATAACTATTGTTTTAAAACAATATATAACACAGTTGCCCCACCTCTCTTACCACAAAACACATCTCGCATCTACACACAAAGGGGTCGTCCATAAATGACGTCACACTCGTAGGGGGGAAGGGGAGTCCATAATTGTGTGACGGTGTGTGATGAGGGGGAGGGGAGGGGGGGGGGGTTCAGATGGTGTGACGTCAGTTTTTTTTGCTTTACAAAAAAAGTAATTTTAGAAAACGAGTTTTAGCCGTTATTTCGCGTTTTAGAAAACGGTTTTAATAAATTTTAATAGGAATTGGTCAAAATCTGCCAAGATTTTGGAAAAATATCGATGTTTTAAGAAGAATTCAACAGCAGTTATGAGCGGGGTTGTAGGCTGAGGTGTGACGTCATTTTAGGGGATGCGTCTGGGGGGGGGGGGGGTCTGGCTTTTTGTGACAACGCGTGAGGGTGGGGAGGTAGGGAGGTAATAATCGTCCAAAAAAAGCGTAACGTCATTTATGGATGACCCCCAAACACACACGTGCATATATTAAACATCTTTCATCCACACACAACTACTCACGTAATTATTTTTAACACACCAACACGCATGTAATTAACGTATAAGCCTGCCGGTTGACTGTTGAGTCAACCGTCAGCCATTCACCAACGAGGTCCGTGTATCGCCTTACAAATTTAACAGAACTGGCATTTACCAGTGAGAAAGCGGTGCTCTGTTTTTTTTGCATTTTAGGCCTTTATTACATGTAATCTCAGTTGGTCTGTGTATATAGGAGTCCATCACTCATGTTTTGTTGAGAACTCATCACCATAGACTTGCAAGGCAGTGTTTCTTTCAGCTATCTCTTGGGGGGGGGGGGGGGGGGGGGGGGGGTCCGTGAAATAGTCCACAACACCCCCCCCCCCCTCCCCTCCCAAAACTAAATAGAATTAGATAGAAAATAGGCATATACTTTTACCAGTGTATTTTTTTCTGGATGTATTTAAAAAATTTACCCCCCCCCCCCCCCCATACATGGATTAACATATAGATTATTACGATTCTCAACCAAACCGTTTTCCTCAGGCATATAATGCAACGCCTAGTTGATGACCCCCCCCCCCCCCCCCAAACCACCCTCACGGTGATTGCTTTAAACTAATAATTTTAACTATAGTCGGTTATAAACAGCTGGATGTAGCATGGTTTCTCTATCATTAGCAGGTTTACGTCATGGAGTCACCCCCCCCCCCCCCCCTCCACCCTTGTCGGGATTTGTCAACTTTCCTCTTAAAAGACTATTTAACTCACTCTAATTAATTATTTAATTAAGTGGAATTATCATTTTTCTGTACTTAATAACAGTACAGATCTGCACTTAATAACAGTGTATAAGATATAATCAGAGTTTCTTCCATGCATCTCTTCGGGGGGGGGGGGGGGGGGGGGGGACGAAGCCCCCCCCCCCGAAAAAATTTTACCGCCCCCCCCCGAACGAAATGAAATTTATATAATTTATATAGAAAATATATACTTTTAATAGTGTCCGCCCCCCCCCCCCCCCCGAAGAAACTCTACCGCCCCCCCGAAAATTTCAAGTGCCCCCCCCGGAGAAAAAAGTCTGGAAGAAACACTGGATATAATTCGTATTTATCATCATATATTGGTTAGATTTAAGGGCAGTGGCGTTACTAACTCGTCTGTTAACCGGTGCGGTTTACTAAGGGTGTCACTCCACCTTCCTACAAAATTTGTTGCATTATTTTCTCGGTTTGGTGTCACCCCTCTGCCCTACTAGCTTATTATTTTAAAAATAAGCTAGTGTTTTCACAGTAATTTTACGACTTTTCAATTTGGTGACACGTCTTTCTTAAGTGGTGTCCCTCGGTGCTGACTGCTCCTCGCCCCTGCCTTACTACGCTAATATCTCGGGTGTATTTGTACAACTTTAAAAAAAATTCGGTAACTCTTGGCAAAAACGATCGCAACTTTCCTGGTGCTACTCTTCGCTTCCTGTGCAGTGGTTGGCTGGAAGACATAGTGCGTGTCGTATTACTTCTCCTGCTCACGTTTACATCACACAACACCAACACATGAAACAACAAAGGTATGACACTCGGTAAACAATAAATGGAAGATTTTGTGTTGCTGTTTTAATTTTTTTTTTATTATTTATTTCTTTACCACTCTATTCTTGAATGGCGATAAACATGAGAATAGGACAGAGGCGTATCTAGGGGAGAACGGGTGGGGCGGCCGCCCCGAGTGAAGACCCTGGTGGTAGGGGGGGGGGTCCAAATGGAGTAGGAAAAAAATATCTGCTCATTCTGATAGATTATTACTTGACTTTACAGACTAATTTAAGATATTTGTACAACAATTGTCTGATACCCAAATAAAAGCTGGCGGGAGAAAGTGACAGGTAAAAAAGCGCCACCAACCTTTTCAAATGCAATGTAACTTTATATATAAACTGATAGTTCGCCCCGGGCGCCAGAAATTTGATGTTTTAATACATCTTTTTTTTTCCTTTGACGTCGTTAGAAATCTACATTTGGGTGTCCTACCAGCATGCTTACATTGAGAACGCTTGTTGCCACAATCTAATAGTGCTTATACAACGAGGCCATCATAGTTACTAGTCAGAGACCAACAGAGTGCATCTAGCCAGAAACCAACAGAGTGCAACTAGTCAGACCATTAGAGCGCATCTAGGGAGAGACTGAGTGCATCTAGCCAGGGACTAGCCGAGTGCATCTAGCCAGAAACCAACAGAGTATAGCTAGTCAGAGACCATTAGAGCGCATCTAGGGAGAGACTGAGTGCATCTAGCCAGGGACTAGCCGAGTGTATCTAGCCAGGGACCAGCCGAGTGCATCTAGCCAGAAACCAAGAGAGTACAACTAGTCACAGACCATTAGAGCGCATCTAGGGAGCGACTGAGTGCATCTAGCCAGAAACCAACAGAGTACTAGTCAGAGACCATTAGAGCGCATCTAGGGACTAGCTGAGTGCATCTAGCCAGGGACTTGCCGAGTGCATCTAACCAGGGACCAGCCGAGTGCATCTAGCCGAATACCACGCGCCAAAGAAACTCAATCCAGCTTGCTATACGCTCGACTGAGCGTGATCGCTAACCCGAGGCAAGAGAGATGAGAGATAAAACCTAACGGCTGGAACTTTCTAGACTTTTTGGTTCTGTAGCCAGAGAGTATGTGTGGTGGAGGGAGGGGGGGGGGGGGGGGGGTTAGAGGTGTAGGGGGTACATGCTTGCACGTACGACGTTACAAATAATAACGTTAGAGTTATTAAAAACAAAATAACAATACCAGCGGAGGGGGAGTTTACAGTACAGATAAGATGGAGCGTCAATTTTAGTTTCTGTTCAATTGTATTTGCTCTTTTGATGATTGAAAAAAAGATAGGCCAATTGAAAAATTTACATATAGATAAATGAGTATCTAACTCACGTTAGGGAAAGAAAAGGCGGCTGGGCAAAGTGTTGAAAACACCTTCTCGTCATTGGCCAAGGTCAAGCAACATATTACGAACTCTACTTCATCTGCCCAATAGATCGCTAGATCTAAAGAGGATACTTTACAAAAAGATAAACGCTTAGAATTATCAAATTTGTGCACACGACTATTTCCAGAGGGTGTGTCAAGCCTAACGTCTTAGACGTACTTACATATTTTAGCTACATATGGACATATATATATATATATATATATATATATATATATACATACATAGGCCATATATGCATTTTCTCCTACATACGTATTTATCAAGTTGACCCCACACACACCCCATCACTGACTCAACACGCGGGAACCCATGTCTGATGAGTGACCTACATTCATATCTACTTGTGACATTTGTAAACACACTTTTGTGTGTTGTAATCCACGCTTGACCACAGGGTTGACCAGCTACCACCGTGGAGATGACCGACCCGACTCTGTCCCCGTGACTACGGCTGACTATGGGAAATAAAATTAAGGCACCAGCCCTGCAGCGGGTACATAACGAAGTTACCAAGCCAACTGAACACGGTCGTCGATGGACTGAAAATTCGACTCATTCTCGACCAATCCATAAAAATGCCAGCACTTGCCCAGACATTCGCCATTGTCCACCCGGATCCAACCCTCCCCTCCTCCAGTAGCCAGATTTCCCTTATTTCTTCTTTTAGAGTTTCCCACGCCGCGCTAGGGGAAAAAAAAAATCAAAACCCCGAACCATTTTTTATCGACCCGGTAAGCACGTGCACACGCATGAGCGCTTTCTTTGCCTCACGCGCCATATCCCGCAGTCAGAAAGCCGGTCTTGTCCGCTCGCACTCCTGTGCCCCCCGGGGGGATGGCTCGCTTCTTTTGACTAGTCTTGTCATTAGTTCCAACTTTTGTTCCAGCCTCCATTCAGCCCGGGTCGTCGCGTCGTGGTACCACACCGTTGGAATTACTGTTAGGGCGAATCCCGGCAATCACGGCATTGACGACACAGCAGCTCCAGGTTCGTCATCCGCCGGCACAAAGCTCGGTAATACTCAATGATAACCAGGTACACGGCGTCAAACTACGTCATTGAGTGAGACACAATGGAGCTATAAAAGTGAAGTTTGCTATTGTGATATGGCAATGCGTTTATTTTTCTTTAACCACTGCATACCAGCTACATTCATAGCAGTCTCCAGTGACACCCATCAGCGTTTCTACTTCCTACTCTTGATATATATATATATATATATATATATATATATATATATATATATATATATATATATATATATATGCCTATGTATATAAATACATATATAAGCCAATACATATGTGAGAGGCAATCCCAGGTAAGAACAAAGCAAGAACCGTCTTCGAAAACTTCTTGCAACAAATGATATTAGGGGCATAGCCAGGAAATGGTTTATATATATATATATATATATATATATATATATATATATATATATATATATATATATATATATATATATATATATATATATTTGTGTGTGTGTGTTTGTGCGTGTGAGTGTGAGTGTGTGTGTGTTATGTGTATGTGTGTATTGAGAGAGCCATTTTGACAAATCTGCGTGCTTGGCACCCACTTGTAATTATCTACAGGGAAAATAGTAGTACAGCAAAGGCGGACCTTATTGATCTTATTCTGGCTACGCCCCTGTTAGCTCCTAAACCTTCATATTGGGATGATTAAGTAATCACACAATGACAAGAAAATGACAAAGGGATTAGCGATTGGGCTGATCGACATACCCAGTCCCGTGGGTGTGGGGTCGTTCAGAGGGTAAATCACGCCGGGGGGCCCATACAACCTAGCGGGCCCTATAATCAAAGTTAACTTTTTGTTATACTTTCGCATAAAGCATTGATATATCCTACTTAATTTAACCAAAATAAATAAAAGCAATTCAGGATTGCTAGATATTAATTTTAAAAAATAGCAATAAACGTGTTGAATTTAATGTTACCATCCTCATGACCTATTTATTTTTCGCAAAATCCTGTATTTTTTAATCATGATACAGTCATTGAAATTATTTAAAAAGATAAACTTGAGCTGCCATATTATTATAGTGTTTACCAACACCACAGCCAATTCCTCAAATTACACATTAACCCTCTAAAAACTGGCTTCTTCAAAATGGTTGAGCTAGCGCTCAGCTTGCAACCGCTGTTTCGTACTAATCTTCCCCAACTCTAAACTTCACGAGTGAACACACCCACACCCAGACCGAGTCCCAAACATGAGTTCCGCTTGCCTTGAGCAAGCCGTTCACGGGCTGAGAGTTCAGAATAATAAAACGTTCGCCCAATCAATAAATCGATAAGGGATTATTTGCCTTTATGCAGTCACTTTACACAAAATGTATTACTCACCACTTACAATTTGTTTTTATCAAAACAAGACCAGTGTTTGTTTGTTTGTAAACTGGTTGATGGAGCTCGAGTTTCAATACAATTTAGTTGTTACATATCCATTAGCCGTTTGGACATAAAAACAGCGAGAAATAGGGTTAGGCTTATTGTTGGGTATCCATAAAATATAGCCCCTATATGATACTGTTATAGGTTATTTTATCTACGGAAATTGTTTATGTAGCCGCTCTGAAAGCTATAGTTTTAGTTAAGGGCACTAACTCGTGAAAGCTGAAGTAAAATTATTGCTATAGCAGAAGCTGAAGTAAAATAAATGTTATTGTAGAACCTGGCGGTTTATTAATTAATTAGCTTAATAAAAAAGACATTTACCCCCCCCCCCCCGTGTTTCTTCCCGTATTTTTTCTCCGGGAGAGGGGGGGGGGGGGGGAACGGACACTGGTAAAAGTAAGTTTTCTATATAAATTCCATTTCGTCCGGGGGGGGGGGGGGGGTAGATGCCTGAAAGAAACTCTGCCCCCCCCCTCCGCTCTTGTTCTTTTAAAAGATCTAGACATATAGACCTTGTACTTCCATTGACCAACTCCTCTAAGCATTATCAATAACCCATCCCCTCTCCCCACCTGCTTCAAAAATAATCTTACTGACAAAAACAATAATGAACTTTTTCAATGGGACATTGTGATTATTGTTTTTAAAGAATTATATTATTGTTTATGTACCAAACCTAACAAGAATTTATAATACATTCTTGCACCTATTTAGACAATAATTAATAAATACTCGCCCGTAAAATTTAGCGAATATAAATTGCTTACATAGGTAGTAGGTAAACCAGTTAACTTTGTGTCTGTAGCATTCTAAAAACACGTTTTCTAGAAAATAAAGTACACATTTTTTAAAAAAGCATTTTATCTGAGATTACAGACTGCATAAATTATGTGTCTGTGTGTGATGGGTGCTGGGTGGGGTGGAGGCAAACACAAAAAAAATCGTTTAACACAAAGGGCCTCGAACGAAATGACTGACATGCTTTGGAAATTATAACATGCTATAAAATTGAAGTCCGCTGGCTTTTTATGCTTCAGTAGGCCAAATATGTGTCAATTACTCAGATTATCGGGCACTCAAGAGTGAAGTGTAAATGACACGTTGTCACCTCCACACTCCGATCAACATTCTGAAGACGTCACGGCATAGATGGGTATTGAACGTGAAAGCAAATATCTGCTTTGTAGTCATTCTACCAAAGATATGGACTAAATGAAAGGTCAGCATTCTTATCACACGTTTGATCTATCTAGTCTAATATCAGGAATGTGGATCAGAACACGGAGTAGTGGGGCAGGTCATTTTTTTTTTCGCTAGAGTCGGAGCAAGAAGTAACGGAGCAGGTAAAATGTTAGACCACTCACTGTGCCCAGCTATGGTAAAGGGAAATAACCATTAATTTATGTGAAGATTCCCGTGTTTTCAAAAGATGGAACAGATTTTTGAAATTATATAATGGTTCGAACAATTGCATACGTTGTGCATTGATTTTGTATTTTTTTAGATATGGAATCTACTTTTAACATTTTTAACGAGTTACATAGGCATTTAAATAAGTGATTGTACTGAAATAATAGTAGCAGGATAATAATTTTCATCTTAGTAATTCTTACACCGAAGTCAGTGAGTACCCCCCTCCCCCAACAGTTCTAATAAAATTAACTTATGAAGGAATTTTTAATTTTTTTTTCTAGACGTCCGTAGTAGGTATAGGTATACATTTTGTCTAGCCTAAACGCTGTGAAGTAGGGCTTACAAGATCTCCTGGAAAAGAGGTAGATCTAGACCTACTTAACATTTACTCTTCAACTTTAAAAATGCTTTTTAGTCCTTAGTCACGTCTTATTTACAAGATGGCTGACCTCAATCAAAGCTTGAAAGATTACATGTCAAGGTCTAACAAAGATACCACCACAACAGCAAAATACTCATTATTGCCAACAAAATGGTTTTCATCAGGAGAAGATATTGAAGATAAACCCCAAACAGAAGCCGCTAATGGCTGGTTAATAGACGCTCAGTCTGATCCATTGTTGCCCAGCCTTGTATGTAAAAATAAAAAAAATAAATCAATGAAAATATGTTAATTTTTAAATATACACAATGGGAATTTATCTACTCACAAACAACCGTCACTTGTTACCTATGGAGTTAAGTTCATCTTACTTTTGATTTTACTATTTATATCCACCTTGTTTAGGAAAAACTTGTTTTATAATTTATTTAGATATTCTCGCTAAATCTAAATTTACTCAGTGGTAATCTATCGTTTTAGGTACATAAAATCGCCCGCGACTAGTAATGTGAAAAACAGGTGACTCCTTAAATTTTAATAATTATTTAAATTTTTTAAGAGGATTTATGTTTTGAAAAATACAAAAATGTTCCCTTGTTTCATTTATGTAGATCTACCTGTTTTTAAACAATTGAATTAAAACTTTTCAGTAATAAATGATGACTAGCGTTGTTTCCAACAGATGCAACCATGCTCATTTACTATAGCAGCCATCTTGTTTATTTTTTTTATAGTAAACTTATAGCACTAGATTAAGGGGGCGCCACTCTACCGCTTTTTCTATAGCAAATTCTGCTCGCAAACACTGCTGTTTAAAGATAATTTCTTGCCTTTATTGATATATTTAGCCATTGATTTAGGTTTATTATTCATTTATCCATAAAGTAAAAGAAAATCACGGCGCCCCACGTTTTTCATTTTTTGTCATAATGCGCACGCAGTTTGCGATCGCTTATAGTAGAGTGATCGCTTGCATTATTGTGATGTATAGCATTTATTTTCTACTTTTTAGTTCAATCAGAAAACGTGGGTTTTCAAAAAAAATTTTAATGAAAATTATTTGTACATTACTAACCGCGGGCAATTTTACGTACCTAAAACGATAGATTACCTACTCGGTTTTCAATTTAAACTTTAAACATGACCACTAAATAATAGACATCCGTATTTATTCCATTAGGCACTAATTTTGAGGGTTTTAGCTTGTTTTAGACAAAATTAATTAATTACAAATTTGTTGTCACAGCTATAGCGCGACAAAACTTGCCATTACAATTATGTTATATCACCCTTGTGGTTTAAGCTACAGCAAGCCACGAATCCGGTTTGACTATTTAAATGGCTATGCACCAGAGTTCCTTACTAGTGATCACCAAATAGTGGTCATGTGGTTTTTTTTTTTTTTAAATTTGGTTGTCATTTTATTTGCCGGCCTTATAAAAAAACGTCTGACAATATTTGATTTATTTTTTCATAGACTGATACCTAAAAATGCTTCACTATGGACATCATTTTCGTACTCTGGAAATCTATATTTTAAAAGTTCTTTTATTTTTAATGAAACCAATTCTAAATTTAGCCTTCATTCTCAAAAGCAAATTATGAAATGCTTTTACAGCAAATATAGTAGCCCTGTCACCTGCTGTTTGTTGTTATCAGGTGAAAAACCCACCATTTTACTATTTGTAAACATTTTTTAACCTAATTCTAAGAAGGTCACTGGAATTAGGCAGAAAAAAAATCATCAGAAGTCATGCGTCTGGTGTGGGTGTCATATTGTTGTTAGCAACAGGCCCCGCCTCCAGGTTAGCAAGCAATGCTATTAATTATGGTGTAGGCTTTTCAACTTACTACACAATTTTGATGTGGTATGACCACTTCTGGACTTTTTGATGCATTCTTTATAAAAACTTTCCATTTTCAGAGGAATTCCTCTCCTCACTGTAGGAATTGAGTATTTAAACATATTCGATATTGACATTTTAGTCACATTGTATGTTTCAGTGAGAAAATTACTGCCATTATAACAATCTTAAAAACTGAAATGGTCGCTTGACCGTTTATCTCTTTAGCATTTACCTTAGGATGCTGTCCCATTTTTAATATGGTTACCTATTAAACACATTATTAGTGTCTTGCTATTAGCTTTAACTTACTTTAAAGTTCCATTAAAGAGATACATAATTATAATAAAATGACAGTTTTATTGTATAGTGTAGTATTTAGCCTGAATAAGTGGATGGTCAGATAAGCAAAATTCCTATTGACATTTTTTCAACTCTTAAAAGTTTATCCATTTAAAAAGTGTAAAATCATGTTAATTAGAATTGTCACCAGAACATAATTTCACTAGGGATAGAAAAAAACAAAACCACTGTTACAAAATTATGTATGTAAAATTTTTTGTAAAAGATACTTGTTTGTAGCACACCACTCTGTGCACGGGTGGCAGTCCTGCATTGGTGTGAATATATCCTTACGCAAACAGCACTGCAAGCGGTGGCAGTGTAGCACTTTAGTGTGGATATGGATTTTCATGAAAATTAAGCTATGGTACGAAAACAAATTTTCATTGACGTCCGCCTAGATTTCCCTCCTCCCCAACCCGCGGTCTAACTTAAACTGCCACTTTTCACCGGTGGTCTGCATCCAGTTAGAGCCCTCCCCAAGTGTGACCTCACTCTCCCAGCTTTAAAAAGCGAAGACTAAGTGTCCATACCGATTACAGAAGGACGAAAGTGCAAAAGTAAAAGTGACACTGGGGGCTTATATTATAGACAATGTAGAGATGTTTCAAGTAAAAAGATTAATTGGAATTTCTTTTTTTGGAAAATTAATAAAAATAAAAAAATTTGTCCAAATAAAGTTAAACTATTAGTCTAAGCAATTGTTTTTAAGAGAGTAGTCAGTAAGAGCTAATATCTTGTTTCATTAAAATAAAAATGATTAGGACTTATTTATAACTGGATTAAAAGTTATGAAACATTTTTCATTTTATCTTATTTCAGAGCAAAAAACAAAGGATTGTAGGTTTTATCATCTGTTTGTTGATGGGGACATTTTGTCTCAGCTTAGTAAGTTGCTATTACAGCTTAGTCTTTTAATATTTTATACCTTTTTAAGGCTTTTCCTAGTAGTGTTTATAATATATGTATCTGTAAAAATGCAAATAAATAAACTTGTGTATAGCTGACTTAAACACATTTTATTTCTTTAATTTCAGGCAAGTCTTTACATTCCTTTTTTGGTTCTAAAAGCAAGAAAATTTGCATTATTATATACTTTAGGCAGCTTATTTGTCCTATCCAGGTAATATTTTAACTCTTTTCCTAAATATTTGTATGCAACTTTCGTCTTGAATATTTGTTGCCATTTTTCAAGAAAATAAAGTAGAAGCAACTCTATATTAAGTTCCCTTTCAAACCTGATGGCGAATGGGGCAAGTGAAGTAGAGTTCACCTGTTTCTGTGACCTCAGCATATGAAGAGATAATGTGGTCAGCACTATTCCCAGCCATCTTTACTTTACTAATAAGAGTTGGGTACCCATTAGAGCTGGGCGGGCTCAGGGACATTCTATTGACTTGAACCTGGATTCGACCTCAGGTTAGCAGTCTAGCACTCTACCACTAGGCCATGCTGTCCCCATAAGCAACTGCATGCTTACCTATAAAAAAAGTATATTACATATTAATGTGTTACAAAAAAAATAATTAAATGCTACATATTAATGTGTTACAAAAAATGATTAAATAATACTTACTAATATATTTTAAAAATGTATATTGGTTTTATATTAGAGATACTGCAGCACATTAAAAATAGATTCATTTCAGCTTTGCTCTGTTGTGGGGACCAATGCATCACTTGAAACATCTTTTCTCAATTGGGCGACTCCCCTTTACATTAACCTACTTTGGAGCCATGTTTGCCACACTTTATTTTTCACTTTGGGTATGTGCAATTTTAAAAAGTTAATTGAAGACACTTTTATTTTCAAACCTGAAAGCGAATACTGTCAAACAAATATAGCTTTTTTGGTGTGTTGGTTAATACATGAGCAAGGAGATTAAAAAATGGAAATTTGTAACATATTTATATTAGGATAAGTTATTATGTCCCCTCTACAAGATTAATGTAAAATAAAGATGCCATAACAGGAAGTTTCATTTTGGCTTGTTTTGCTTTAGGTTTTAGATAATGATTATAAAATATATTTTGTAACGTCAAAATTGTATACATTTGTAAGGAAATTTTCTTGTTTTATTTATTAAGAAAAACCACGACTTTACTTATTTCTGCAGTCTGTGGTAATTCAACTTTTTAAAACTTTAACTGTGACTAGACATGATCATCTGTTATTTCTTATATTCCTTGAGTGAAGAATTATGTGTACTATCTCCTTTTGTTTAACATCTTTTAAATAAGTTGATCTCTTACAGGCAAAAAGCACAATATTAACAGTGGTATTTGCAGTGGCTCAAATTGTTGCCCTAGTGTGGTAAGCTTTTTTCTCTCTGTGTCCTTTACTCACTAAAGCAATTAGAGCATCATTTACGGCAAATAGCATTCATAATTATATTTTTTTTCTTACGAAATTATACATCAAATTACTTGAAAAGATCAGAGGACAATTTTTATACACAAAATTCGAATTTTTAAAATAATTATTTTTAATGTATAGTAATGCAAATTATTCTTAAAATTAGTATTGTTAGTATTTTTATAATAATTTTTAGTGCTAGTTTTTATTTTACAGTTAAATAATTTGTAAGATATAAAAAAAAACATTATTCAATATTATCTCCCTTCAGGTACATAGTGAGTTACATTCCTGGAGGCCAAAGAGGACTTAAGTTTTTTACAACAATATTTTATGCAGTGGCTTCAAAAACAGTAGGAAAAACTCTGCCCATGTAGCAAGCAGACCATAGAACTTGTTTGTTGATTAATTCCCTTGCAGCGTTACATAAAACTTACATGTAAAAATATAAATGAACTTTGGTCTTTATGATTTTGTGGATTTTGTGTGGTAAAATTTTGCATTTTCATTCTTTATTATTTTATAAAAATTAAGTTGGGTACGCTTTGGCATTTTATTGTTTATTTTTTAAAAATGTTTTTAATTCAAGATATCATTTTATTTTAAATGTTGTTTATTTAGGCTTCTGGTATATCAACTTAATATACTCCCAGCCTAAATTAGCTACTTGATAAGTTTAAAGTTCTAGATCTTGCAAAATATTTTTTAACCAGCTAAATGAACTCAATTGTATTAAGTAAAATATATATCAAACAGTTACAGTTATCAAAACTTAAGCATGATATTTTCTTCCTATTTCCCATCCCACTTTGTCCTCTTAATTTGTTACCTATGACCAACTTAGCTTTTGATATGTTTATATTTTATAATATTTTTAAAAAAACTATATCAACTGTAGTATTTAATCAAGTTTAATTTGTAATGAAAAGCATTTTAGTATGAACTATTTGTGTAAGAATCAAAAGTACCCAGCGTAAATACCGTATCTATAAATCCAATTTTAAAAACCTCGATAAATAATGAATTAGTTGCCCAAAAGATTGGTTATAGCTTTGTATATACTTTAAACATGAACTCTGGTTGTCTAGGCTGGTTTAGTTATATCATTGCATTTAGTTCTTTTTAAACATACTGATATTTGAGGAGTATTAAAAAAGGAAGGGCCTAGTCAGGATCCCTCATTAAGTGCTGATTAAAACGTTTTTCAACTCATATCCTTGTACATAATTAAATAATCCGAATAATCAAGTGAGATAACAAATTATCATTGCTGGATTATTCTTAACTTTAATCTAAATGATGTTAATAATTATCTTTCTTGAAATTATAGTAAATTTTATATCCCTGTGCATATTTAAGGATATTTGTTTCAAGTGCGCTGACTTTAAAAAAAAATGCAATTCAGTGCTAATTTAGTTTGTACAATTTGTTGCTGTGTCAAGTCACTGCCAGATTTGTACGTTAAGGTTTGTGACATGAACCATATAAAAAGTTGAGTTGAACAATGTATTATAATGACATGAACAGTGTATAAAATGTTGACAGGTATGATGTGTAAAATTGATTTGAATGATTTAAAATATCGACATGAAGTGTCAAATAATGACAATGTTGATGTGAAAGATATAGAATGTTAACAAATAATATTTTGAACTTTTTTTTATACTGAGATGCATTTTGTTATGTGCTGTGTTGGTTAAATAGCTTTGAATGTGTTGAAGCCGGCAAAGAGTGTGTTACCTATAACTAATGCTTCTCTACTTTTTGCTTAACTCTGGATTCAGCATTTACTCTGTGAAAAGAAGCTAATATCTTAGAAAACACTAACGATTTTTAGTTTATTGAGAACTACGTATGAAACAACTACTGATATTTTTAACTTGTATTTTAAAAAAACATAGCATTTACTATTTATCTAATGCTATTTATTTAAGTTACTAAAAATATTTGTCTTGTTGCCATACTTCTCAATGTATTTCTTTGTATTTTAACGGTGTGTAATAAAACATGTATTTTGGAGAACAGAAAATATCGGCTAATGGTGTCCTATGTTTGTATTGTTCTTGTGTTCTGCCAACATATGGCTCTTCAATATTATCACACATCATGCAGATGATCCATACATCAGTATTTAATATGAGCCTAGAACATATAAATAAGTAAATCAAATTACCCATGGGGCAGGTGAACTAGAGTTGACCTGCTTGAATGACCTCAGTTTATGAAAGGATGATGTGGTCCGCACTCAGAGCAGATAAGGCTTTTTGGCTAATGAGCCTTATTACCTGGGGGGTCTGAACTCAAGACTTTTGAGATTGCTTTCATGTGCTATATCACCCTACCACATCTGTCCTTTATAACATTGATGTCTCTTACTGCATATTGATATATGTCTCTTATTATATATAATGATATATGTCTCTTATTACATATTAATTATGTCTTATTATATTAGGATGTATGAATTGTATGGATCATCAGTGCTATTACTATTATGACAAAACATATTACATAGCTCTTCAAAGCTACTTTTGAGTAACGTCAATGACTAAGACAATCAGATATTACTGCTACTATCAAAAGGTCTTGATCGGTAAATTACTATGTGGGGCCTTAACAATATTATAGTTGTACTAACATCAGGAAGCTGCTAGCATCTTAATTCAGACAGCAGGTCTAATCATTCAATTCACAGCAGTGAGTAATAAATAATAAATCATTCATTGTTTTATAATATAAGCTAATTTTTTAGTTGAATGGTAGACGGGTTTGTTGCTAGCCCGAGGGTCTCGAGTTCAGGTTTCGGTCGGTGATGGGTAACTGACTTACGTTGGGGAAAGGGCGGCTGGGTACTGTGCTGACCGCACTATCCTTGCAAATGCTGAGGTCAAGAAACATGAGCTCTACTTCACTTGCCCAATAAATCACTAGGTCTAAAGAGAAATGTGTACTTTTTGTTTTTATTAATCAGAATATTTTAGAAAATAAATTCCTATTTACTGGGTATTGCAGTTTTATTATTTTATTTTTTATTAAATTAAAACGTCCAATAACCTCTTCTATTCTAATTACAATTTGTTTTTTTTCAAAAGAAACAACTAAAAGCCGTGGCCGTGCATAGTATTGAATGCAACGCCATTGCATCATTTTAATGCCCTTATTTTATGTGAGTCTCTTCGTATGATTTTTCTAACATGATTTTTCTAACACGAATGCAATCACATATTCCAACCTTAGAATAAAATAAGCATGATATTGAATGCAAATTTGACAATGTGAGAAGTATGTCCAAAAACGTGGTAGAGAAGAAGCACTAGTAGAGAAGAAGCACAATAATTTTATTTTATTTATTTTTTACATCCAATCTAGACTATTATTCTAAAGGGTATCTGAATGTATGTAATTAGCTTAATTTAATTATTCTTTAAAATTTCGACATCTAATTGCTGTAGCAGGGTTTATCTACTATTTATAAAAAGTAATTTTTATTTTAAAAAAATATTTCTATTTTTTACGATTAATAGAATATTACAACTAATTAAATTAAGAATATATCTCTTATTTCCCTTTGATAACTTGGCGAGCGGAGTACTCTCCCCTTACGCTTTATCTTGATCAAACTAAAAATAAGTCCGATGGCTCAATGTTTGGCCAACTGTGACGAGACGAGGCTCTCGACGGTGTGACACAGACACTTGTTGTGCACCGCGCTGAACACCCGCCGGTTTAACACCAGCACCACGCTGATGAAGAAACCCAGGGAGGCGTTGATGACCGTGAAGATGAGCCACAGCACCTGCGTGTCCACCACGGCAGCCAGCAGACCCAGCAACCACGTGATGCCCACTAGCACGATGATCTTTAGCACGATGGACGTGTCGGTGACGCCGGATGCTGAGGTGGACAGCTTGAACTCCGAGATGCTCGTCCTTTGCTGCCTCAAACCCTGATTGGATAAATCATAGTCACGTGACTTGTCCGGGTAATTTGATTGGCTATCGACAAGAATATACCTTCGGTTCAAGCTATCCAAAATAAACAAATAATATGGGGGGGGGGGGAAGAGGAGGGGGGCGTGGAATATATAAACGACCTCCGGGAGAGGGGGGGGGGGCGGTAGACTTTCTTGGGGGGGGGGGGGGCGACGACGACACTGTTTAAAGTATATATTTTCAATATAAATTATATAAATTTCATTTCGTGGGGGGGGGGGGGGGGGCGATAGAATTTTTTCGGTGGGGGGGGGGGGGGGGGCTCTCCCAAAAAAACTGCGCAACGGAAAATTGCGCACAAAAAATGCGCAAGGGTTTTTTGCTTTCTTTTAAATCAAGTATTTATAGACACTGACAAAGAATGCAAACATGTACATTGTAGCATAATAATTTATATTTTAACGAAATTAGACAAAATTAAAGTGTATTGGTATATTGGTATATACTACATAGTTTATATTTGCGCATTTTTTTTTTCAGTTTGCGCAGTTTTCCTTTAGACAGTTTCCCGTTTGTGCGCTTTTTTTGGCAACTCTCCGAACTAGACCACCGCGCCTACTTTAACCTGTGTCCACTCACCCCCCCCTCAACTTTTAAATACCCCCCCCCCCAACAACGCCACTCCGGCAGGAAACATGTCTGAAAGCACCCCCTGCCTTAACCTACCCTCAGCGTGAGCCCCACAAAGACGATGTTGGCGAAGCAGATGACGCTACACGGCACGACAAAGAACACCGCCACGGACATGCTGCCGTTGAGCCAGCAGTTGTCCACGCCGTAGTAGGGCGCGAAGTCCGAGTAGGGAGAGAACCTGTCCACAAAGAGGGCGGCCACGACGATCAGAACGGGCAGGCCCACGGCGTACAGGGAGGACAAGAACAGGCTGGTGTTGCCACGTGACACAACCTACAAGAGGAGAATTGGGGGGGGGGGGGGAGGCTTGATTTAAACATGTATATATCATAAAGAGTTAAATATACTTATACACTCAGTTGCGTAGCGGGGGGGGGGGGGGGGGCTTAATATAAACATGGTTAAATCTAGTTAAATATGCGTGTTCACAAACACATACGTTCATACATATTCACAAATGTAACAATGCATATATAGGCCTACAGACTATTATAATATTCATATACATTAGCACGTAATATAAATAATACACATGTATTTATATACATGTTTATACTTATATACCTGAGCAGGGGCGTAGCGAGGGGGGGGGGGGGGGGGGCGGGGGGTGCGGACCGCACCGGGTGACACTATTTAGGGGGGTGACACCAAGGCAAAAAATAGCAAAATATATAAAGAAAAACTTGAGGAGGGGTTGCAAATCGAAAGTTTGAGGGGGGGGGGGGGTGCAAATCGAAAATTTGAAAATTTTTAATCCCCGGGAAGGGTCGCTACGTCTCTGGGGGGTGACACCATTAAGTGCCGCACCGGGTGAAACCCGACCTCGCTACGCCACTGTACCTGAGTACTGATATACCGATATACAGATATAATTATACACACACATTTACACACACAAACATATATATATATATATATATATATATATATATATATATATATATATATGCCTATATAAAATACATATAATTTAGTTTGATGTTGTTTTTTTTTATTTATCGAATCTTATTGTATTCATTTTCTATTTAATAATGATTACATTTTAGAAAACACACTTAAATTAACTGTGCTATTAATAAAAAAATATATGCTATTTCTATCATAGCTCGATTACTAACAAATCTTAATTAAGCCCAGTCACACTACCGCTACAGGTACAAATGACCCACTCCACACCTCTAAATTCCAGTTCAAAGCATCTCTCCAGATAAATATGCCCCCCCTCATCTCCCTAACCCAGGGGTCGGCAACCTTTTGAAGCGGAAGAGCCAAAAGTTACAATTTTCAAAATTTCCCTGGTTTTAAAGAGCCACTAACATTTTTTTTATTTCAAATATTTCAATTTTTTATTAAGATTATTAGTATTTGTTCAAGGAGCTGGAGAGCCGCATCTTGATATCAAAAGAGCCGCATGCGGCTCGCGAGCCGCAGGTTGCCGACCCTGCCCTAACCTCAGCTTCAAGTATCTCTCTAGAAAAAAATGACCCTCCCCATATCTTTGATCCCCAGTTCCAAGCACCTCTCCGGATAAAAATAACCCTCCCCATACCGTCAATCCCCTCTCTAAAATCACCTCTCTCACACAGACTGAGACCATCTATATATACATTTAAACTCATGAATACAAATCCAGTTCGTGATTTCTGAGGAGGTGGTGGGGAGAAAGTGGAAAGCATCAGGAATTTATGTTGTTATTTCATAAATCAAGACAGCTGTAAGGCTCATGTTCCTATTAACGCATTTTTACAATGAAATAATCGATACAACTAGGTGTAAACAAACAGCTAGCATTGGAAAGTGAAAAAATTAGACAAGAGTAGAGAAATATGTGTTTAGTTCAGGTGCTGGATATAGGGAGAAGGGTCCGATCACGTGATATACAACATGAAATGGAAAGGGAACGTCCCGCCCCTCACTAATGTAGAAGCTCTCCTATTCAATTAAGTAGTGACGCCAGCTAAATTATTTTTTGACTCTCCTACTCAAAGATTTGACTGAACCAGATACTTAATTTTGTTGTCATTCACATTTTCAAATACGCAGTTACTTGCCTCCTCACTATACAGAATGTCCTCCATTTCTCACCTGGTTACTCCAATGCCTGAATGTCCTCCTTATCTCACCTGGTTACTCCAATGTCCTCCATATCTCACCTGGTTACTTCAATGTCTGAATGTCCTCCATATCTCACCTGGTTACTTCAATGTCTGAATGTCCTCCTTATCTCACCTGGTTACTCCAATGTCCTCCATATCTCACCTGGCTGCTCCAGTGTCCTCGAATTCTAACTTGCTTAACCCAATGTCCTCCATACTTACTTCAGTGTCCTCTATCTCTCACCTAGTTACTCCAATGCCTGAAAGTCATCCATATCTCACCTGGTTACTCTAATGT